AAATTAAGTAGAAACTCAATTCCTTTTTCTAAGGATTCTCTCTCTAATGTAATTAATTATTTTCTGTATTAAAAATTTGGGTGATTTTTTTTATAAGGCCATTCACTAATTTGATGGGAAATCTATATCTATATCTATATAATAAGAATTACTATTTTTCAAAAATAGTAAGTCAAATCTTGGTCAAACTCTCCTATCATTAATTATATTCCATTTATGACAACTTTTTTTTTTTAAGAAAAACAATAGTCATAAATTGCGGTGTATTGTTTCATGAGATTTTTTAAGTGTGTATTATATATATGGTAACAGAATTTCTAAAATCTTGGTTTCTATATTATATTTGATATATCAATTGACTGAAAATTTAAGTATTTATACTTTATAAAAAAATTAAAGTAAATGATAGCACATGCTATAAATAGATGAAATGACGAAAAGTAAATTTAAATCACCATTCACACCCTTACATCTATCCATAAATAGTATTAATAGTTTAACGTTATTTGGTATCCAAATTTATTATTTTAATTTAAGAAAATGTTACAAGTATATAATAAATGTACATAACACTTACATATAGGGATCCACATGATTTTTTTATTTTTTGTAGGTCTCACTTAATGTGAGGGTTATGTACAATATTATATATATATATATATATATATATATGTGTGTGTGTGTGTGTGTGTGTAGAAAATTGACTTTTTGTTTAAATTGTTTCACTTACTTATAAAGAAATTTTTTTAATTAAATTTAAAATTAATTGTTTATCCTTTTGCATGAAATTTAATTTTTAAAATTGTATGCCTAAATATTGTCCTACCTTTTAGCTTCTTATAATTCACTTTAATTTTGAAAATTGTAAGCTAATATATTGTCCATTTTTTAACAATTTATGTTTTCATTTTCTTGAAATTATTTATATATCAATAAATACATTTAATACAAATATACTTAAAAATAGACAACAATATTTGGTATTACGTTTTCCACAATAAATCTAAAATTTTGAAATTAGTCATTTACACAAATTAAATATTTGGAGTATTTTAATTACATATAAAATAATCATTATGTTTAAAAATGTTGTGTTTCTCCTTCCACATTAGAAAAATAAATTGCTGGTAGAAAACAAACAAATTAAAAGTTAAGTAATGATAAATACTATTTTTTCACCTATAACAAAAAAAATTGCGTACAAAATTGAACATGGATATAAATGTGCATTATGTGTGAATTTGTTATGCGTACAAAATTGCTTGTGAGGTAATAATTTTGTCTTGATCTCAGTTAGATATGAAAAAAATACCATTTTATTTTTAAAATTGATAAATCACTGCATACAAAAATTCTTTTTACGGTAACTAAAAAGTAATAATATTTTGAAATCTTTTGTACTCAAATTACTTACAAAAATAATGATAATAAATTTGAAATCTTATGTACTCAAATTTTTAGGTACCGTCGTAATCATGTCAATATTTATTTCTATATACTATGTAAATTTTCTCCCAAAAAATTTATAATGTATTTATTTAAACTTATAACGCTATAGATACTTTTATATAATATTTTATCACGTCATATTCTATCTATATATACATATGCATATTAAATTTAAATACTTTTAAGAATGTTTCCTTTACAAAGAAAAAAAAAGTTTAGAAAACATCTTTCATACAAAAGTGAAAGTTAATGTCTTTAGACACGTTTTCTTTCCAAAATAGTTTAGAAAAGTTGTAGGTGACTTCACATCTTTTAATAATAATATAGAATATTTTAAAAATTTTTACATATGTTAATATAATATTTTAGGTGTTTGTATTATTTTAAACATTATATCACATGTTAACCCAACATCTTTAATTTGTTTATACTCAACTTTAATTTATAATATCTTTTATTCCCACTTCTTTCTTTGGGGACTCGAACTCGAAACCTATTTATAATTATTATTTAATATTTTTTACCCGTGCATCGCACGGGATACACACTAGTTGTTACTAAATTAATTTAACCTTATTTTTATTTTATAGATATAGATATAGATACAACCATATGACCCAATTATTGCTGATTAGGGCTATAAACGAGCCGCTCGAGCTTAGAGTGTTCGAGCTCGAGCCCTTAACGAGCCGAGCCGAGCTGAGCTTGTTAAATAAACGAGCCTAAAATCGAGCTCGAACTCGGCTCGTTAAGGCCTCGAGCTCGAGCTTAACGAGCCGAGCCGAGCTCGTAAATAAACGAGCCTAAAATCGAGCTCGAACTCGGCTCCTTAAGGCCTCGAGCTCGAGCTTTAACGAGCCGATCTCGAGCTTTAACGAGCCGAATTATAAAAATTATATAAAAATTCAATTTTCGAGCTTTAACGAGCCTTATCGAGTCGAGTTCGGCTCGTCTCATTAGCCAAACTAGCTTTTAATGAGCTCGAGCTCGACTCGTTAAGGCTTCGAACTCAAGCCTTAACGAGCCGAGCCGAGCCGAGCCAGACTCGTTTAAATTTTTTTATTTTTTTTTAGTACAAAGAAGGAGGCCAGTGGCCTAAAAATTAGACAAGAATGCGTCGAGGATACGAAACCCCGATAATGTCATGTTGAAGCCAATCCCCCACACTAGTAGGTGGCGTCAAAAGCACATGGAGACCAATCGGAAAGGAGGATGCTAGGCTCGCTAAATGATCCGCCGCGAAGTTCGCCTCTCGATGTACATGTCGAAGGCTAATAGTCCAGTCCCTTTGGAGCATTTGACGAACGGCCTGGACTAATGCACCATTTGCCGCAAAATCGCTACCCGAGCCAAAAACCATTTGGAGCACACATTGGCTATCAATTTCTACAACAACTTTACGAAACCCCTTATCCCAAGCTAGTTGAAGCCCCTGAAAGAGACCCCATAACTCCGCGTCTGTAATAATACAATAGCCAATGTGCATGAGAAACCCGCCAACCACAAACTCGTTTAATTTAACAGCACTATTGCCGAGAAAGGGCGGTGGAGGTAATTAGGGGTGGGCAAAAAAATCGAATTTCTCGATCCCGAACCGGACCGAAATGGTCCCGTTCCAAAAAAAAGGATCCAATCAGTTTTTAAAATTTTCGTACCGTTCCCGGTACCGAACCGGTTGAAACAATGTCGGTATCGGTTTTTATAAATTTTTTCCCGAACCGTCCCGTTTGTCCCGTTTTATTTTTTTGTACAAAAATATTATATATATATAGTATACATATATATATATTATACATTATTTATATTTATGTTAACAGGCTTGGTTTAAGTTAACAATGTATATTATATATAGTATACATTATTTATAATTTATATAGTTAACAGACTTGGTTTAAGTTAACAATGTACATTATTTATATTTATATATAGTATATATATTATTCATTATTTATATTTATGTTTACAATGTCACAGTTTCAGTTTTAATAATTAATTTAGTCTTAACAAGCTTTGTGTAAGACAATGTTCAATGTTTAATTTGTTTAATTTAGTATCAGTAGCTTTTTTTTTTTTAATGCAGAATGCATGATTGCAGTTTAATTTGTTGGTATGGAATCAAAGTTTTTTTTTAAGTGAAACAATAAATAGTTTGAATTTTGAACATTTTTTTCTCGTTTTGTCCCGGTCCCAAACCGTTTTGTCCCGGTCCGAATTGATACCGATCCGTTTGGGACGAGGTCTCGTCCCGGACCGGTTCACAAAATCGAGACAAATACCTGGATAAATTAAATCCCAGACCGTCTCGGACCACGCCCACCTCTATAGGTAATTGGAGGAGACGTGAAAATATATTAGTGCGAGTGGCGCCTATAAAAATAGTACTACTACACATCACTTTTGATTCCCACCAACAACCACAGAGAAAGCCTCATCCGAGACGCAATCCCCTTCACTGCCCCCACAAGGTAAAAAAACAAAACAAAACAAGACGCAATCCGACAAGAAAATGTTTGGATCGTCGATTGGGGAGACGTGAAAATATATTACTACGAGTGGCTGGCGCCTATAAAAATAGTACTACACATTACATTTGATTCCCACCAACCACCACAGAGAGCCTCATCCGAGACGCAATCCCCTTCACCACCCCCACAGGTAAAAAAAAACAAAATAAAAAACAAAACAAAACAAAACAAAACGCAACCGACAAGAAAATGTTTGGGTCGTCGATTGGGGAGATGATGAGCAAAGCCGCGTCCACCATCGGCGGGCTTATGGTGGCCTACGCAATGTTCCAGAACTACTTCCCGGACGCCTTCCGCAGCCCCATCCGCCGCTACTCCCGGAAGCTCCTCAACCTCCTAAACCCCTACGTCCACATCACCTTCCCCGAGTACCAAGGCGATGGCTTCTCCCGCAGCCCTGCCTTCTCCTACATTGAGCGCTACCTCAACAATACCTCCACTGCCCAGGCCCGCCGCCTCAAAGCCTCCGTCTCCCGAGACTCCGACTCCGTTGTCCTCTCCATGGAAAACCACGAGGAGGTGATGATCTCTTGTTAACTTCTTGATATATATATGTATACTTTTACCAAAATATATCTAAAAAAATTTCCAAAATATTCAAGGTCACCGACGAGTTCTCCGGCGCCAAGACCTGGTGGGCCTCCGTCGAGACAGTCCCCAACCGCCAGTCCATCTCCTTCTTCCCCCGTGAGGACGAGAAGCGCTACTTCCGCCTCACCTTCCACAGCCGCCACCGCCACGTCATCACCTCAGAATACCTCCCACACGTCCTCGCCCAGGGGAAGGCCATCGCAGTACGAGAGCGGCGCCGGAAGCTCTACACAAACAGCAGGGGAGACGGCGGCGGCTACAGGTCGCGCTTGTGGAGCCAAGTGCCGTTCGAGCACCCGGCTACGTTCGACACCCTGGCCATGGATCCCGTAAAAAAGCAGGACATCATCAATGATCTCCATAAATTCACGGATTCCAAGGATTACTATGCAAAAATCGGCAAGGCCTGGAAAAGGGGCTACCTCCTGTTCGGCCCGCCGGGGACTGGCAAGTCAACCATGATAGCCGCCATGGCTAATCTCCTCGGGTACGACGTGTACGATCTGGAGTTGACCTCGGTCAAGGACAACACCGAGCTCCGGAAGCTTCTTATCGACACGTCGGGAAAGTCGATCATCGTGATTGAGGACATCGACTGCTCCCTCAACCTCACGGGACAGAGAGAAAGGAAGGAAGAGGAGAAAGATAAGGAAAAAGACAACGACGAGAAGAAGGAAAAGGACGAGAGTGAGAAATTGAAGGATAAACTGAAAAAATTGGAAGAG